TGAGCCTTTCCAGATCTTGGATTGCTTTGATCTGGGAGGGGTCTGCTTCTATACCTCGGTTGGTCACCAGGAAGCCTAGGAATTTGCCTGATCCTACGTCGAACGCACACTTGGATGCATTTAGGCGCGACTTGTTCTTCTTTAGAATCTGGAACATTTCACCTAGGTCCTTGAGATGGTCCTTCTCATCCTTGCTTTTGACCACCATGTCATCTATGTAAGCCTCCATTGTTCTGCCTAACAATTATTCAAACATCTTGGTGACCATCCGTTGGAATGTTGCCCCTGCGTTTTTTAGGCCAAACGGCATGACCTTGTAACAATACAATCCTCTAGGCGTTGTAAAGGATGTAACCTTCTGATCTGGTTCATACATAGCGATCTGATGGTAACCTCTGTACGCATCAAGGAAGCTAAGTCGATTGTGTCCTACTGTCAGGCCTACCAGTTGGTCTATCCGTGGTAGGGAAAAACTGTTATTTGGGCATGCCTTGTTGACTGTTTTGTAGTCTACGCAAACATGCCATTTTTCATTTTTCTTTGGCACTACAACGGTATTAGAGATCCACCTTGGATAATGCACTTTTCTGATGGCCCATGCCTCCAGCAGGTTTCCTACTTCCTCCGCCACTATCTCCACGTGGCGGAGTATCAATCTGCGAGTGCGCTGTATGACCGGTCTGGCGTTTTGGTGGACATTAAGTTGGTGGCAGATGAACTTTGGGTCAACGCCAGACATGTCGTATGGCGTCCAGGCGAACACCTCAATATTTGAAATTAAGAATTCCATTAACTCAGTCCTCTCAGTGCTGGACAAAGACGAGCCTAGCAAAAAGAACTTTTCTGGGTCTTTTTCATCTACCTTTACCTCAACCAAGTCCTCTACTGCCTTTTGCTCTGCTGCTTTGCCCACGTCCGCAAACTGTTCATTGCTTTCTGGCTCTTCCACCATTTTTACATAGCCTTTTGCAACTCGATTGTCATTTACTGTGACGAAGCACTGTTTTGACATGATTTGGTCTCCCAAGACTTCTTCAATTACTTCGGCTTCGTTGGGGAACCGCAGTGCTTGATGGTAGGTTGTTGCTACCGATCGCATGGCGTGCAACCATGTTCTTCCAGGATTATGTTTTAAGTGGAAGGGACCTTCAATACCCAGAATTTCACTTGTTTAGTCATGGTCCCAGCTTTGACTGGGAGGATTATCTTGCCTACTGGCCATTATGGCAGTGAGTTAAAGCCAACTAGGGGGGATGTTGTAGGGGCCTAGACTTTGTCCTCCAGCTTCAGTTGTTTGAAGGTTTCATAGTACATTATTTCGCATGAACTTCCTTGGTCAGTCAGGATTTGCTTGACGTCGAAGTTCTTGACGCGCAGAGTTACCACCAGTGCGTCATTGTGTGGACAATGTAGTCTTGCTAGGTCCTTGTCTGAGAAGGATATGACGTTCGTAGCCTCTGTTTTGCCCTTTTTGATGGTGGGTTGTGAACTTAGTACCTTCTTCAGGTGCTCTGCCTTCTTTATCATCCCCCTGAGTTCACATACCTGCTAAGGTTCAATGATCCCATGAATAACATTGATTACGCCTTGGGGTGGTTCGTCCACTGGGGGCTGGCTGTGTTCCCCCTTCAATATACTAATCTAGGTGACCGGCAACTACTAATTCTTTCAGATGTTGCCTCAGGGGTGTGCAGTTTTCAGTTGGGTGCCCCTTCTCATCATGGAAGGTGCAGCGAGACCTCTCGTCGTAGCCCCTTTGTGCTACTCTCAACTTGGTTGGCCACCAAACGAAGGGTTCACTTTTTATCTCGCTGAGAATTCGGTAGATAGGCTTATTGAACACGATGGTGATAGCAGTGCGAACTCTTAACCTTATTTTTTCTGGGTCCTCCCTGTTGGCTCGCCTGCCTCGCCCATTCCTGTTTGGTTGTTCTACCGTGTTGACTTTTGCTGCAGTCTTTTTGTCCGGCGTTACTGTTGAGCCAGACTTTGCTTTAGCCCGGGCATTGTCTTCCTCCACACGGATATGTTGGTGTACCCTTTCCATTAGGGCCTCCATCGTGAGGGGTGACATCATTGTACTTGAGTCCCTCAACTTGTTTCCGACTGGTAGACCTCTTTTGTATTGTGAGATGGCGAGATTTGTAGGGCAATCTCCTATCTGGTTAAAAGTCTCCCAATATCGACTGTTGTAGGATCTCAATGTCTCCTTGTCGCCCATGTCAATGGAGAGTAGCTTATCAATCTCCACTGGTGTTTTGGTATTCGTTCTGAACCTAGTCACGAACGCCTCTGCCAATTGTGCCCATGAGGCGATGCTGCCTTCTGGTAGCCGTTTGAACCAGGTTAGACCTAGGTCGCCAAGGCTGGATGGGAACAGGATACACATTAGGGCCTCATTCCGCCGGTATGCTGCCATAACCTGGCGAAAGTGGCGAAAGTGCATGTAGGGGTCTGTCTTCCCCTCATAAGTGGTGAATTTAGGCTGGTGGAAGCCCGAAGGTAGTGGTGCGATCTCTATTGCCGGAACGAATGACGAACTTTGCAACCTTGCTAATACCTTATCCGTTGGTTCGTAAGCAAGGCGAGGCATTGGCATCCCTACCTCGACACTCCTATGTGTCCTAGGGGCCAATCGCTGTAGTGCTGAAACTTTGCGTGGGTCGCGAGCCCTGGTGTCCTCCTTTCATTGAGCCCTTTCGTCAAGTACTGTCCGCAAGTCCGATGATCTAGGCAACTCCGTGTGCCTAGATGTCGTTTGGTACGTGTGCGAGGGCAGATAGATGCTCCCCTCAATACACGACCTTTCAGTTCTCGTTCTGTCAGACCTGGAGTAATGAGTCCTGGAAGTCCTTGATTGAGTGTCGCCTGTTCTAAGGCTCTTGCTTTGTGCTTGCGATGGGGTGACCCGCTGTCTGCCACGATCCTCTAAGTGGCGAGAGGGCGTGTTGCCTTTGTGCCCCTCTCCTGTCGCCACCCCTTTTCCTTTCATCTGGCGCTTCATTGACTCCATGTCCGCCGCCATCCTCCTTATTAACTCATCTTGTTCCCTAACGCGATCCTCCAGAACCTGGGGGTCCAATCTCCGCCTCTGTCTTTCAGGACTTTGGGAGTGACGGGGGCTGCTGCCTCGTCTTCCCCTTGCATCCCTCTAGGGGGTTTGTCGTTGGAGTTCTAAATCTGCTATGGACGGGATAGAAGGTAAACCTTCGCACCTCCCACCCCCTTCTGGGGTTTCTCTGTCGATAGCAGACTGCGGCAAATCCTCATTGTGCGCCATTGGTTTCAGCTGGAGAGGAAAACTTGATCAAGAGGTTTTCTTCTTTCTGGTCTTCCTACAGACGGCGTCAATTGTACGAGCGCAGAATAATCTTCTCGTATAATCCTGTTGATCAAGTTTGAGCTCCTCCAAACATCATCTCTTTACTCCCTGAAAACACAAACGTGAGCTAGCCGGCGGGTGTGTGTCGGATAGCTCTCCGATGCCTAAGTCAGCAGAATAGACAACAAGCTCTATGTATTCGGGAATCAAAGTTGTGTTACCTGTACATAGGTTTTGCTGAGAGCTTTTATAACTTTTGCCTGGCACAATCCTAGTAGGACTCTTATTCCTCCATGTAGAGTCCTCATAGGAATCACACTCTTGAAAGATGATACTTATCCTTCAACACCCCCCTCACTGCTTAAACCAAGTGAGATGGTTTAGCCACGGTTGGACAACAGTATGACTGAGCTAACACTAGCCCTTTGTCATACTTAATCCAGCACCTTTCCAATTATACGACATAGCTTGGCTCTTGTTTCACCTGTACCTCGGTTTTGTCTATTTAGACCGGGCTAGCTGTAGCAAGTTTTGACAGAGCTAACAAGAGCAAGGTCCACCTTAAGAAGCCAAGCACCTCGGCTCTGAATACTATGACCGAGCTAATTATCACCAGTACGACCGTGGTGACTGCAACAATACTTGGACCGAACTAACAACAATGGTTCACTTTGCTAAGCCCTTTTTACCACGGCCCATAGATCGGCGCATTACTGCGCCTGGATCTAGCTCGGCCCTAATGCACATAAAAAACTCCCTCTCAAAAAGTTTACAAAATTAATATTCGAATAACATAAATGGTGTTAATTAAGACAAAATATACTGTACAATTGGAATTACAGTTTAAAAAATGTTTCTATAATACTAATGTATTATGAAAATGATTTGCAAACAAGCATTTCATACCAAAAATAAATAAATAAATAAATTACAAAAAATGTAGTGGTATTTTAAAATTTTAAAATCATTTTAATGGACTTATTGATTTAAAATGAATAAACGAAGACTTGACCATCTCATTCTTTATGAAGTTCTATATAAATTTTATATTTGTGTATTATCACTGGCCACTCTATATATTATGATGATCAATTCAGTTTTACTAACTTCACAAGTAAAATGTCTAGTGTTTGGTTTTTCTCCAATCCAAATCTTGAATAGTAGGTTGTTGTTTGGACATATAGAGCTCATCACAAATTTCGTTTAATGATTTGAACAGCTTATTTTACAAAAAAAATTCGTATATATTATTTATACAAAAATTAAATTGATCAGATATTCGTAACTTATTCGATTTATCACATTTGTCATCTAATAGATGACAAGTGTATTATTATTATTATTATTATTATTATTATTATTATTATTATTATTATATATACACATACATACATAATTGGGTTTATCTTTGGTCCAAAATTTGAATTTGAGAGTGTTGTTTAGACTTGTGAGGGCATAAGAGTTTATCCCAACTGTTTATTTTGTAAGAATTTTTATGTATATTGCAAAAAAGAAAAAAAAAAAAAAAAGAAGAAATGATTAAATGATTGTAACCTAATGCAACAATTAGTGTATTAATTTCAAGAAGAAAACGAAGCATACAACAACCAAAAAAAAAAAAAAAAAAATTCTACCAAAACAAACGGAAGGTAAAATTTTCAATTACGACGTTAATAACCTGGTTTTGACGAGGGAAGGTAGCGAAGGTAGCCAAGAGTTCTTCCTCCCTCTTAGCCTCGAGTTGCTTAGCCTCGGCTGCGATTCTGGTAGCCATAGCTGACTGCCTCTTAGCCTCGAGCAATGTGTAGTTATCCAAGAACAGGTTGGATTTGTGAGAAGGATGGATGAACCGTTCATTTTCGAAACACATTGGGCAAACGCAGAAGGGGTTGTTTGTGCCATTTTCAAAGCATTCTGAACATGTGAAGAACATGCCTGGAATGAATTCATCACACCCCTCACAGAAAGGCCGTCCACTTTTGATGATGTAGTATAGACTCATCACCTCCATGAATTTCAGACTGCCATTACCTGAAATTTTGATTCACACTCAATATATATCATTATTTCATATTCCTTGTTCTTAAAATAAACTTTCACATAATCCGTCTATCTATCTATCTATTTATACTATCTACATAAACAAATGTAGTAGTGTCTTAAAAGAGACCAAACCTTCAATCCTAATATTTCATGAAATGTTTGGATTCTCTTTCTTAAGTGTGCCACATTCATTATTCTCCCATTCTATTTTCCTTCTTCTTTTTTATTTCCTTATATATATATATATATATATATTTTTTTTTTTTTTTCACTTTTTAATTACTTAGGACATGGATATATGTGACGTCATATGGATAAGAATTTTTCAAAATTTTTAAGAGATAAAAGATTAATTTGACTCCAATTTAAATTCTTTCATCAAATTTATATCATACCTAAAGATATTTAAAAAAATAAATAAATTAAAAATTAAACTTATAAATCTCAAAACTCAATTTTTATGACAATATTAAATTGGACAAAAAGATCGAAGAACAAAAAGAACTTTGCAGAGAAATAAAATTTTGATATCATTAAAAATTGTTAATTAACTTGATGATTTATTAATAAAAATTGTCAATTGTTATGAAATTTGAAATGTCAAGGAGCAGCTTGTAATTTCTAGAACTACAACGGGTAATTCATATTTTATACAAATTTTAAGGGTGTATTTATAATTTATCCTATATTATTATCAAGTTATGTGTTTGCTTTTGTTGTAATGTATAAGGAGGATACTTGATTTAAATTCAAATGTAACTAAATTTAATTATGTAACTCTACAACATTTTTACATATAATTTTATTTTTTTATTTGAGATCTTTATGGATTTAAATTTGTTTTTCAGTATATATGTAGTGAGTTACTAATTAAGTAGGTTTTTAAATGTTGAATTTCTCTTTTGTAGTAAGAGTCATTTGCACAGAGGAACATTTTATGTGCAATATTGGATCTCAAATTCCTTAATAAACATGCAAATAAACTATTTGTTTTCAACTCATAATAATCTTTATATATATATATATATATAATGAAAATCAATCGTAGACATAGTCATTTGGATCCATTGGAAGAGTAAAAACTCAAGATACATACATGTTTTTGTTTAATTGTTATTGAATAGTTCATTTCAATTGCGTTAAATGACATATAATTTTTAAATAACTTGGATTTAATATATGAATATTTTAATAAAAATTTGGTTAATTTCTTATAAACAAAATTATTATTCACCAGCTGTTCTGAAACTATAAACACATTACATATTCATAATAAAAAAAAATTAAAAATTAATTTTAATAAAGATAATTTATGTATTTAGACAAATATCATAGACAAGATTTTTTTTTTCTATGATTGTTAAATTTTATGTTCATATACAATACGTGTCACTTCTAAAGAAGTATTCAAGTTATGCGCGTTCTATGCTTAAGATCTTATTATTTAAAATGAACAATTATATTATCATATAACACAAAGTAAGAAGATAAATCTAAGATTTTAAATAGAAAAGTGATGTTGTATTTATTTATTTATTTATTAGTTTCAGAATATAAAAGTTGTTGAAATTTATAGGTTATAGATAGAAAACAAAATTAAAAAATAAAAGGGTGATCCCTTAATTTTTTTTTTTGGTTACATAAGTTTAAAATACAAAAATTGTTAAAAATTATAGGTGAGAGACACAAACAGAGTTAAAAAAAATGTACAATAAGATATTATAAATGCTTATTTTTTAACTACACAAAATTTAAATTTAAAAACTTATAAGTGACATTTCATTTTTATCTAATTTCTAACTTATGCTACCTTTGTTCTTCTATTATTTTTTAGTTTTATTTTATTTTATTTTATTTTTTTTTGAGGTGTTATTTCACTTTTATCCAATTTTTAAGCTCCTACCCTCTATAGCTCTTCTATTATTAAAGTTATATTAGATTTTATTTGCTTTTTCAAGTTTATCTTATCTTATTTTTGAATTTTTAAATTTGAATTTGATTTTCTTTTTTCAATCTTGATTCGATGTGTATTGAATCTTTCACTATCTCCATTTTTGTAGAATTTATCTAATTTTGTCTTTCTATATTCTTATAATTTATCTTCAAATTAATTTTTTTTAAAATCTTTATCTTATATTTATAGAATTTTACTTTTGCTCTTCATTTTCAATTGAGTCTATTCAATTGTGTGAGTTTCAAAAAAATTGAATCAATCCTACATACTACACAAACATAGAGTGAGATGTGCAAAAAAACCAGAGAGTTGGTATGATAAAAAAAAAAGATAAAAATATTACTATTGTAGGGGATGCCAAACAACCCTAAGTTTTAGTGTGGTTAGCATAGCTTATCACATTTTATTACTTGGCCACGCATAACATGGATTACCGCTAGTATATTACAATACAAATGTAATATCACATAGAAGAAATTATAAATAAATAAAAAAATCAGAATTTATCTTTGTAACAAAATAATTTTTTTTTATTTTTATCAATTTGAACTGCAATCTTTTAATTTATTTTCAATACGATTCGCCTATTTCTGTTAGTAAAATCGATAGAAATATATATATATATATATATGTATATATATATGTATTAGCCATTAAAGTCAATGTAGGAGTCTAAAATATATTTTTTGGTTGTGTTGAATGGCTAAAATACTATTTTTTTTATTGGTTTATTTAATGAAAATAGACAAGTAATTTAAATTAAAAACAAATCAAAATATTAAAATTTAAAATAACAAAATTAAAAATTTAGAATTTATTTGTTACATAGGTCAAGCCCTTAGATTTTTTATAGTAATTTTCCCTATCATTATGTTTGCAATAATAATATTGCACAAGTAATTCGAATAGATTGAATTATATCGATTAAAAAGATAAAGAAACAGAAAAAAAAGACAAAGTAAGTCTATGCTAAGATTATTATTTTTATTATTATTTACAAAAAAAGTTCATATAAAAGTAAATTTTTTATTTAGAATAATGTGACTTTTTGTTGCTTCAATTTTTTTTTTTTTTTTTTTTTTTTTTCCTTTTTTTTTTTTTTTTTTGTTTATGAATAATTTGGACACCACCATATTTATTTATTTTTGAGTTATTCACTTATAGAGACCCCATAAACTAATAAGAAGTATCATTTTGACCTCTTAAAATATAAAAGTGTACAAATAGACTTCCTAAACTATTGAGAAGTATGAATTTGCTCCCTAAACTATAAAAGCATACAAATAGACCCTCTAAACTATTGACATGTTCATTTTGACTTTCTTTCATTAGGGTGTCCAATTGATACACTTTTACAATTTAAGGAGTCAATTTATACGTTTTTATAGTTTAGAGAGTAAAGTAATACTTATCAATAATTTAGGAGATCTATTTATATACTTTTATAATTTAGGAGTTCAAAATAATATTTCTCAATAATTTAAAAGGTTTCCTTATAAATAACCCATTTCAAAAGATTTACATAACTCTATATATTCAAAAACCAAAAACTGAAAAATGAAAAAGTCAGAAGGTAAAATTCAATCTACTAAGCTATGGGAAATTATTCAAAGGTCCGCCCGTAGCACATGGCCATTACCTTCCCTGTCGAGCAGTTCGAAGAAGTGACGATTGTTCATTTTGTGATGGCCTTCATCCCTCATGAACCGCTTGAACTCATGGAGGCTGACTTTGCATCATTGTCGAAATCGAGTGATTTGAAAAACTCGCGAGCCAACTGCTTCAGATTGGCAGAGCTGGAGTTGTAATAGATACCAGCAGTCTTAAGCAACTCCTCCATCCTTTCTCTCAGATCGTCGCTGGATGATGATCGATTGTTTTGCACTGCAAGCTTAAATAAGACATGAATGATCCTTATATAGCGATGCAGGGCTTAGCGTTCTCGTTGTAAGTCTAATTTCGGTAATCTAAACCGTTTACTTTTTAAAATTCATTGAGAGATTATTCATTTAAAAAATTAAGATGATTGGATTTGGATAGTTATATGTTTGAATCACATTTGTCTTTAAAATATAGACAATGTTTTTTTGAAATTGAAATTATACTTGCTTGCTATTTTTTTAAGATAAATAGTGTTCTCATTGTAAGTCTAATTTCGGCAATCTAAACCGTTCACTTTTTAAAATTCATTAAGAGTTTATTCATTTAAAAAACTAAGATGATTGGATTTTGGTAGTTATATGTTTGAATCACATTTGTCTTTAAAATATAAACAGTGATTTTTTGAAATTGAAATTATATTTGTCTTCTATTTTTTTAAGATAAATGTCATTGAAATATATATATATATATATATATAGATCAGCAAAAAAAAGAGGAGCCTTTATTGATGATAAAACCACACATCAATTGAGATTACATCAAAAAAGGGGTGGAAGAGCATAAAGTATCATAGCAAATTATCCCAATCTCAACTAGGTTAGCACCGAGAAGAGATCAAAAAATGGGTGGAAGAACAAAAAGCATCATAGCAAACTACCCCAAACCCAACTAGATTGGCACTGAGAAGAGAGTCCAATCATCTGCAAACTCAACCACAAAGGGTTGGTGAGAGACCAATCCCCATGGGATGAAAAAACCAACAAGTAAAACTGATCAAGATCAAACCCAAATATGATTAATATATAACTATCGAAATCTAATCATTTTGATTTTTTACGTGAATATTTTTTTCAATGAATACTAAAAAATAAACGGTTTAGATCACTGAGATTGGACTCACAATGAGCCTACTAAGTCCAAATATTCTTTCAAATCGAATTGTAAACATGAAAGAAACCAAACTCTTTATAAAAAAATATATTTATTGATAAATTAGTAAGTTTTGCTCAGACAAACACTCAAATTAGTAGTTATTTTACTCACAAAAAATATTATGTAATAAATCTAATTTGAAGATATTATCAAGTGAATAGATTGTAATTTATTTTTTACAATAATTATAATATTATATTTCTTTGCAATTTAATATAATTTTAAAGTTGATATAAATCATAATTATTGTAATAAATTTTGGTACACTACAACAAAATGCACCTTTGGTGACTAAAATTGGCGACTAAAAAAAATTTAGTCACCAAAATTTGTGGAATTGGCAACTAATAATTTTTTTAGTCGGAAAAAGTAAAATATTTAGCTACTAATTTTTTTTAGTCGGCGTATATTGATTATTGGTGACTAAAAAAAATTTAGTCGCTAAAAATGCCAGAATTGGCGACAAAAAAAATTTAGTCGCAGTATATTGAGTTTTGGCTACTAAAACCATTTAGTCGCCAAATGGAAAATAAAAAAATATTTTTTATCTTTGGCGACCAAAAGTTTGGTCGCCAAAAACGTATTTTCAGGGACAAAAAAAAATTTTAATCGCCGTATATTGAGTTTTGGCTAGCAAAATTATTTCGTCGCAAAATAGAAAATAAAAAATTATTATTTGTCTTTGGTGACAAAAAGTTTGAATGTCCGGTGATTAAAATTTGCGCATTGAAAGTCCTATCGGCGACCGATTCAGAGATTGACTTGTGTTATCTGTTAATTGGGATTTATGAAATTTTATGGTAAGTTTAATTAAAATTTGATTTGGAGTGATTAAACTAGATTAAATTAATGCCCACTAATTAACCTTATTAAGCACATTTTGTTTAATGGCCTAATTAAGGCCTTAGTGGCCCTATTGAACACAAAAACACCTCCACTCACTCCTTTCTTCATCTTACATGCATCATGAGTCCTCTAAGACCCAAAAACGTGGGAGAGAGGGAGAGAGTTGGAAGAAACTTTGTCAACAAGAGAATTTGCTTGAGACTTGGGGGAAATTGAAGGAGAGTTTCATAATTAAGCTACCACACTTGGAATTCAAGATTTAAGGTATAAAAATCACCCTTTTGATTGTGAATTTAAGTTGTTCATTGCATGGTTCATGGAAAAATGAGAGTCTAAGTCAAGAAATAGCCTAAAAGAGTAGATTTGAGAGTTAAACCATCCATGCATGTACATATCTTTGAACCTTGAGGTTGTTTTCATGAAATTCTTACATGCATGATCATATCATGGCTATACTTTAGAACGTCATCATGATTTTAAGTTGAACCTTGCATTTGATCAAGCTTTGGAAGTTTGGAGTTCATGAAAACTCATGCATGTTATGTTTTTGAATTGTTCATAAAACTTACATTGAAATTGTGTTCAATTGGCACACTATTGGGCTTTGATTTTATGAAATGACCTTCAAAACATGTTATGTTATGTGTTTCTACAACAAGTACTTTCCCCAATGTTTTAGGGACCGAAAAGTTTCGGAATTCCAAGAACTCAAACAAGGCAGAATGTCTGTGGTCGAATATTAAGCTAAGTTTACTGAACTAGCTCGTTTTGCTCCACACATGGTAGACACTGATTACAAAAAAGCACGAAAGTTTGAGGGAGGATTGGACCTGGAGATATTTGATCGAGTGGGTGTCCTGAAACTGCCTACTTATGTGGAGGTGCTTGACAGAGCATTAATGGCAGAAGCTACAATAGCAGCAAAGAAACAAACTACAAATCCACCAACTGAATGGAAAGGCAAGGGGGCCGGGTTTAATTTTAGACGGGCTCGATCATTTTTGAAGAAGCGAAACACAGGATCCTCTGATAGTTCCAGTGATTTGTGCAGATTGTGGCAGGAGACATATGAGAGTATACCATCGTGCGTCAGGTGCCTGTTACCGGTGTGGCAAAGTGGGCCATATGATGAGAGACTATCCAGTAGGATCTGGGGATGTCAGTCGCCCTGCAGCAAGTTCAACTGGGTCTGTTTCAGTGGCCAAATCAAACGTCAGAACTAACACCAGGGGTAACAATAGGAATGAAACACTGAGACAAGGGAGAGTATTCGCCTTAGTACCTGGCGATGTACAAAACACTGAATCAGTAGTGTCAGGTATCATTTCTATTTGTACTCACAACGCATATGTATTGATTGATTCTGGTTCTACATATTCATTCGTATCGCATGCTTTCTCTCGAAAATTAATAAGACCATTAGAACCTATGAACTGTGTGTTATCTGTAACTACACCATTTGGGGGTTCCATGGTATGTGCCTATGTATATCCAACATGCGATCTTATGATTGGCAAAATGACATTGTATGTTGATTTAGTACCCTTGAATATCAATTATTTTGATTGTATTCTAGGTATGGATTGGTTGACTAAACATTGTGCCACCATTGATTTTGTGAATAAATCTGTCATATTTCATCCACCCGGTATGCCCGAGTTTACTTTCACAGGAAATGGGGTAGTTCCTCCGCCATACTTGATTTCCTTTTTGAAAGCCAAAAGGCTGTTAAGAAAAGGGTGTCGGGGCTATTTGTGTAGTGTGTTGACTGAGCCTTCGGATAGTGCCAGTACTGAAACTATTCCTGTAGTTTATGACTTTCCTGATGTGTTTCCCAATGATCTACCCGGGGATTTAGTTGATAGGGAAATTGAGTTTACCATTGATGTAATGCCTGGAACACAACCCATCTCCAAGACTCCGTATAGGATGTCAACTTCAGAATTGAAGAAACTAAAAGTCCAACTTCAAGAACTCTTAGACAAGAAATTCATTCGCCCAAGTACTTCACCTTGGGGTGCTCCAGTGTTATTTGTCAAAAAGAAAGATGGGTCTTTGAGGCTATGTATTGACTACCGAGAATTGAACAAAGTGACCGATAAGAACAAATATCCGTTACCCCGAATAGATGATTTGTTTGATCAACTCCATGGAGCCAAACTGTTCTCTAAAATTGATCTTAGGTCTGGTTATCATCAATTAAAGGTTAAAGCAGAAGACGTAGAGAAAATTGCATTCAGAACTAAATATGGACATTATGAATTTTTGATAATGCCTTTTGGAGTAACAAATGCACCTGCAGCTTTTATAGACCTAATGAATAGGGTTTTCAAACACTATCTCGATGAATTCATTGTTGTGTTTATTGATGACATTTGATCTATTCCAAAAACAGGGAAGAACATGAGAACCATCTGAGAACTACCTTGCAGATTTTGAGAGAAAAGAGATTGTATGCTAAATTGTCCAAATGTGAATTCTGGCTTGACAGTGTAGCATTCTTGGGACATGTGATCAATAAAGACGGTGTCTCTGTTGACCCTCAGAAGATTGAAGCTATCGTGGACTGGCCTAAATCGATGAACGTGACAAAAGTTAGAAGTTTTCTAGGACTTGCAGATTACTATAGGAGATTTGTGAGAGACTTTTCTAAACTTTCCATGCCATTGACCTAGTTAACCCAGAAAAATGTGTCATTTGATTGGAATGAACAAAGAGAGGCAGCCTTTCAAGAGTTGAAAACCAGGTTAGTGACTGCACCAATTTTAACTTTGCCCAATGGTACTGATGGTTTTCAAATTTACAGTGATGCTTCCTACAAAGGTTTGGGTTGTGTGTTAATGCAAAATGGAAAAGTAATTGCCTATGCTTCTTGACAACTCTGACCTCATGAAAAGAATTACTCGACACATGATCTTGAATTGGCAGCAGTGGTGTTTGCCTTGAAAATCTGGTGTCACTACTTGTATGGGGTAACTTGTGAAGTGTATACAGATCATAAGAGTCTTAAATATTTCTTTACCCAAAAAGAACTGAACATGAGACAAAGAAGGTGGCTAGAATTGATTAAAGACTACGATCTACAGATTTTGTATCATCCGAGGAGGGCAAATACCGTGGCAGATGCCTTGAGCTGAAAATCCATTGCAAGTTTGTCATGTTTGTTGTCCAATCG